AAGCTACCAAGGGAACAGGCAACCAAACGTCCCTCCATGGCTCTGCTTAAATAACGCACTACATGCAGTTATCTAGTCAGCTATCTCTGAATTCGTCGTCAATCTCACGACAGCTAGTCTTTAGATCTCATGGAAAATCCAAACCACCATACTCTAGCATGATCAGAAACAATTTCTTGTTCTTGTCCGGCACACCTCTCAATGCCATTAGCTAGTAAATAACATCCAACTTTTATTATTTGGGTTACAAACAAAGTATTTTAATTCGATTCCGAAATTTATAAGACATTTATATCACATGTCGATGTATGATTTTTCGTCCATTACAAAGCTTCTTTCATAAAAAAGTAAAACCAATTTTTTTAAAACAATAAAATCGAAATTAAATAAGAAATCGATAAAATCGAAATATCATTTTTTAGTTACAATAGATAATCAAAAATGAACAAATAAAGTTCAATATTTAATAAAATTGGTCGAGGGGACTTGAAGAACGACTGATTACACACACAAACAGACACATGTGCACAGGTGCTCTCAATAGAGCGAGAGAAAGAGAGTGGCGCATACAGACAGACATTTTTATCAGAGTATTATATTTCAAATCTAAAATTCAAAAAGCTTTTCAATATCAGTTATTTCAATATGAAATTTTTCGTCCATCACAAAGCTTCTTCCTCGAGGAAGCTACAACATTCCTTAGCTAAATATTACTAACAAATCATAGATCTGGTGTGTAAGATTGAGGCTTCAGGAAAATGTAGCCTTGTTAAATTAATATAAGCTTTTACATTATCATAAAATTGAAAGTTAATTAAAAAAAAATAAATACACCTAATTCAAATCAAAATATAAGTATTATGAGACGGTTAATTCCGAGCGATATTCCATGGGGAGTAAATAAGTCCTCCATAGACCCACGATAATAATGATGATATATATGTATGTATGTGAAAAATTTATACAAACGAAAATTTGATGAAAAGATTAAGATACTTATGTAGTGAAGACGTGACTTCCGTGACTTGACAATAAAAAAACAAGGAAAAGTTATAAAAGTAAACGATTTATTCGCTGTGTGCGAAATTATTACATGGGTAATAACCTACGACTGAACAGTGCATAATTTCATGACTTTAGCAGATTCAATGCATTGTAGAAGGCAAATGTTAATTATAAGTTAACAAATTTATTCCAAAAGTAGGTGTAAAAGTCCAAATAATTTCAAAAGTTTTAAGTATTGTAGTCGTCAGTAACATACAATGTTAATTATAATAATGAAGCCGAACTAATCTTACTCGTAAAGTGAAGTAATAACGATACGACAGGAAGTTAATGATATCTCGACTTGCTTAATTTAATGTATTATTACTTGCATAATTGAATGCCAAATTTGATTTGTTTTTACTAAAAAACGTGCAAAGTATATAATATCCCCTTAAAAATAGTTTTTTACAAACCTTAAATGTTAGGTAAGTTTGATGTATTGAGTTCATATTTCGTAAGGAATTTCTGAACCTATATACACACTGGCAGTGAATAGTCTTCTTCCTTATGAATCTGCAGCCTTAACAAGTTCTAAAATCAAGATATAAAAACGGTCAAGTTTTTTTTTCGCGCAGCATACATTTGTATGACATTCGTAGTATAATACTGTTTAGTACTCGTACTTTAACAACATCAAACTAAGTAATATTGATTTTTGACTGGTATTCCATATAAACCTCATATCAAACACATTCATGCCTTGCTATGTAGAAAGTACATAAAAATGTTAGGGCAAAAGGCAATATTACTTAGTTTGATTTTGTTTAAGTACGAGTACTAAACAGTATTATACTACGAATGTCATACAAATTTATGCTGCGTGAAAAAAAAACTTGACCGTTTTTGTATCTTGATTTCAGAACTTTTTAAGGCTTGTGACGTGGTAACTAAAGGTATCACGTCACTGTATACCTATATTTCGGGGCAAGTCATCGGCGGCTACCGAGTCCTAGAATAACATATATATTTTCTATATGTACATCTATCACACATTACTTAATGTGTGTTCTCGGTGCCGCGGACTACGAGCCAGAGAAGAGAGAAGGACCGAAGACTATGAAAGAGATTGAATGTGTGAGCATGTGTGTAAGATAAAGGCACAGGCTACAGATTCATGAGGAAGATTACTATTTATTGCCAGTGTGTATAAAGGTTTAGAAATTCCTTANTTTATAGCTTCGTTGGTGGTCCATTTGCACTTATTTTTCCATTATTTTTTTTTTTTTTTTTTTAACTGATTTTTATTCTACTAAAGAGCCACCCTCTAGTTTTTTTTAACGAGTATGCTCGCCGATTGAAATCGACTGGTAATAATTCACAAGCGTCCCTTAAATGTTTGTATAGTTACCGAATTTCTGATAACTTTCATTTTCATCATGTTTCCGTTTTTCTTTTTTATCAACGCCTTCTATCGGTCGAAAATTAAATTTTTTTAACGTGTTAGGAATATTTTTATCATGTAGAAAATCAAGATTAAGTATGTTTGCATATGAGTAATAAGTTTGTTCTTAGAGTACTTAATTATTATGACGGAGTACGTTTACTAATAATCAACCAAAATCTTTAAAAATCAACCAAAAAAAGTTCTATAAAAATAGAGAACTAATATTAAAGACAAATTCTTTGCATTGCTTTAGTGGAAAAAAGTACNTCCCAAAACCACCGGAGGGCGGTAGAATATTTTATATTTATGTAATATAATAAATACTGAATAATAGTACATAGATACTGTATACTATTATTCAGGGGTTGCTCGAACATTAATTAAATTTTTCTGATTTTAATCTCGAAAATTTAGTTACTAATTAGGCTATTCTTTGATTATATCTGATGATTATAATAATAACCAATATAATAAAGCAAATTACTTTTCACTTTGAATGTAAATTTCAGTCTATAAATTATTTAATAACAGAATTATTTACTGAATTATTTATCCAATAGCGTGAGAGCACTACAAGATATGTGTTCTCAAAAGCTCAACCCAAGGCTCTTTCAACGTAGGGTTCCTATATGAGTCTATAGGTTTCATAGTGCTTTTTCTACAATGTTAACTATGAGAAAAATTTTCCTTGTATGGTTGAGACAGACATGTTCTAAAAATTAAAAAACTCTGCAAACAGTACTATATTGGCTACACGTTCTATCGGTTGAAAATTAAATTTTTTTAACATGTTAGGAATATTTTTATTATGTATAAAATCAATATTAAGTATGTTTGCATATGAGTAATAAGTTTGTTCTTAGAGTACTTAATTATTATGACAGAGTACGTTTACTGATGATCAACCAAAGTCTTTAAAAATCAACTAAAAAAAGATCTATAAAAATAGAAAACTAATATTAAAGACAAATTCATCGCATTGCTTTAGTGGAGAAAAGTACTTGAAACTCTGTTTTGTAACTTTTTCTCGTAAAAGACAACAACTTAATTACATTTTTTGTCGAAACGCTAAGTATCTTAAGTATTTTAATTTTTCATAAAAATGTCTAGTACTTATATTTCAATTTTATTTTTTTAGATACTACTTTCATTTCTGGTAAAAAAATCTCAGAAACAAATTTTTTAAACCTAGTATTCAATTTTAGGAAATCTTTATCTTACGTACATCTCTCTTTCTCTTTCTTTTTCAAATAATACGACAACTCATTTGGTGTTATATATACATATATATATATATATATACACGTAGTTACTTCAATAATTNGTTTTAATAATTAGTTTTTGGTTATCTCAGGTGCTGATATATCTAAGAAAATGATTGAATTTGCTAAGCAAACTCACAGTGACGAGAAACGTTTATCATTTATCGAATTAGACGTAGAGGCGGAAAAAATACCAAAAGAGCTGAATTGCGCTTTCGACAACGCTGTTTCTTTCTACTGTCTAAACATGTGTCAAAATACGAGGTATGAAGTAAAATTTATTATTATGTTGTATAAAATTTACTTTAAACATCATGAATTTTTTTAAATGTTAAATTTACGGAGAAATGCACTTGTAAAATTCTATAGCTTCAATCCGATTCATGTGCATACAATTGTAAATATTTCTTATCGTATATCCTGCTTATGGTTGTTCATCTGTATGGGGTTGGGTGTAGCAACTCTGGGATTAATTATGAAGTCTTTTTGGCACGTGTAATGCGTTTTGATTTAAAAAAAATGAGAGAGTATGTGAGCTGTAGGAACATAAAATATGTCTAGTTATAATTTAAATCCTCTAAATTCTCCCTTCAACTGGCTATTTCGACTCATATGGATTACTTGAACTACTACTATTTATTAAAGAGCTAGCTTTTTAACGAGTTTATAAATTTTCGATTTTCTTATTAGAAACTATTTGTACATGCATCTATTTTTTTGTGTATCGCAGGTCCGAACAAAAAGTAATATTCATTAATAATCTTTTGTTTTGTGATTATTGTTGCATTAATTTTTGTGTGCACGTCAGACTGTATACTCTTTTACATCTTTTGTGCAAAAATAATCAAATTAAAATAAATTGAACTTGAAACTTAACTGTAAAGTTTACGGTACCACGATCAATCCCTTAAAAAAAAAGAGGAAAAGAAAGATAGAGCAATTTAAAGATTTAATAAACAGAAAAATCTTTTATAAGATTAATAAAATGAATTTAGTTCAGTACTTCTTATTTAATAGAAAAACTAATGCGAAACTGTAAAATTGTGAACATATAATACTATTATTTATTATGTATATTATGTGGTGAATAAATAAATAAATAAATTCGAAGTGAAAGAACGACTCCTCCTGAGTCACCGCTACTTCAATCACATATAAAAAGAAGCCCGTGCAAATAAGATATGAACAGTCGAGAGGTAAGCCTCGCTTTGACAGTAGCTTGTTGAGTGCAAGCTTGACTCAGTATACGTTCGACTACGTTTTGCCCTACAGCTTCGGATCTTGATCGGTTTGATAAAAATCAAACAATGAATGACGTCAAAGGATACATGGAGGCCCACGAACTGCAGGCTCATGAAGATGCCGATCTTATCGAAGAGTTTAGTGACGAACTTGCAAAAATGACCGGAAAGTGCATCGACATCGGCTGCGGCCCTGCCTCAGTTACGCGCAAGCTCCTCATGCCCCGACTGCCACCTAATGTTCACATCGTTGGTAAGTGGCAAGTTTAGTGCGCAACAAGTCGTGAAAAAAACAATTTTTTTTGTCCTAGTGGTTGGAAACTTTCTATTTACAGCTGTGGGGATAGGAAAAATCAGATACAACCCATATCTGGAAAGTAAAAAAGTGTCAGATAGTCCGTTTGTTGTCCAAAGCAAAGCCAACAATATCCGAAAGGTTTAATACCATTTTTACATATTTATTCATACATTGAATGGCTATGAGCATATAAATATGATTAAGTGTTACATTTAAATTTAGAAGATTATCTTTTGATAACCAGTTATTACTTATACTTTTCGATCTACCGATGTATTCAGTGTTAAGAGATATTTTTTGTATTATTTTTTTTATTCTATTCCCGGGATTACAAACTTGAAAACAAAGTTGACGATTCACGCGAAGGCCCGAAGATATGTTAAAAAATATACTCCCAAGTAATACATAATATAGTTTGTTTATAAAAATTCGTGTGATTAAGAGGTTATCAAATTGTGGGAACAGGTTTATTTTTGATGAGTATTAGTTTTTCTTTTTTTTTTTTAACTGATTTTTATTCTACTAAAGAGCCAACCTCAAGTATTTTTTTAACGAGTATGCTTGCCGATTGAAATCGACTGCTAATAATTCACATGCCTCCCTTAAATTTTTGTATAGTTACCGAATTTTTAATAACTTTCATTATCATTATGTTTCTATTTTCCTTTTTTATTAACGCCTTCTATCGGTTGAAAATTAAATTTTTTTAACATGTTAGGAATATTTTTATTA